GTCTTTTTGGATCAGACAGAGGGACCACATAGTATTAGGTTATGTTTGCCACCTTAAGTTATTTCTAAAAATAATAAAGGCAGGATTTAAAATAAATAAATAAATAAATAAATAAATAAATAAATAAATAAATAAACAAACAAACAAACAAACAATCAATCCAGCATCCTGTTTTTCTCAACAGCAGGAAAAAAGATGCCAAGCTGCTAAGTTCTGATATAATATTTTAAATAAGAGTAAAGTTAAATAAATCGGAAACATTTTCCCAGGATGTGTTAGAAGTATTAGGACATGCTGAAGCTGAACATTGATCATCTACGTATGTATCTTACCACTGAAATTTATCAAGTGAGTGTAGAAGAAAGACTCTCGATGGAATTTTTCAATGTCCAATATGGTGGGCCCCTCAAGGCTACTTCTCAAGGTTTTCTTGGAACCACTTTTGTCAGCAATGAGGGACTCTAACATGGTTCTCACCATGTAAAGCTGCATTATTAAACAGAACATTCATGTCGGAGGAAAAACATACATAGCACATTAGTCGAGCTTTACTTATCTGTCAAAAGGAAGATTACTTCAATTTGCAACCTGATAAGGAAAGTAAAAAATAATTAACCTGAAGGAAACTGAAAGGGGGAAAGCACCACAATTTGCAGTGGAACAGTTCATGGCATGACATTATTTAAAAATAATAAGTAATGCCTTACCACCAAAATTTAAAAGAGTGGGATAGATGTAGGACTGCCTCAGAAACTTGTTTATCACATGCAATAACTTTTCCATTCCCAGAGATCTGAGCTGCTTCAACAGCTCTGCATAGTTTAAGGACTCTGTCATAGAACGAACCAGGAAGAGCTAACAGAAAAGGAAAAGGCAAAAGAGGAAAAGAGAGACTCCGTTAATAAATACACATGGGTAAATAGAGAAAAGGAGAAAGCACAAAATCAGACGAATATACAGTGTATTAGTTTGTTAAAACATGAATAGCAAGACAATGAAGAATACAGAACCCTTTGACCAACAAGTAAGAAGTTTTATTTATTCAGCCTACACATTTCATTATAGCACATAAAAAGATCTTAAGTTTGTTAAGGAAGCTTAACAATCAAATTCAAAGATCATTCATTTTCCTATGACAAAGATTTCTTGTTCCAACACAGCATGCCAAAGAACTGAGGATGATGCAACTAACACGAAAACTGCAAGCAATATTATTTCACAACTGATTGATTGGAATCATTTTTATTTGTCTAAATAAATAAATAGGTAGTTAGATAGATAGAGAACTGTGAAAGAAAAGTAAAAGGCACTAAAGAAAGTTCAAGAAAAGAAAGCTGATGACAGGTAACCTGTCCTGGTAAATTCTATTGAGGGTGCCACAAACATCAGTGGAACTGGACATGTAGCATACTCAAGAGCAAGTTCCCAAGCAAGAACATTTTTAGTCCATACACAATGGCTATGGAATTCAGCATAGCCTTGTATGAGTTTGACATGAGCTTAATGCATATTAATCAAAAGACTATAATTATTTGGTACTTTTTTCCCTTGTGTTCTAAGCCAGATAAGTTAGAGCTTTAAAAGTTTAACTTTACAGGTTATATTCAAAGGTTTAAGTGGAGAAAAACATATTCCTCTCCTTCACCTCAATATAGCAACCAATTGAAAACCCCACCAAACAGTTAAAATTTAAGTGGAAAATAGGCCATGATGTTTTTCAGGAGCAAAATCTTGAGCATATCAAAAATCTAAATCCCAATAATTTGTAGTCATCTTTAGAGCTATGACAAACTTTGTATTTAAACAAAGGATTACTTGCATTGAATAAAAAAGCGGCAGAAAAAACATAATCAGCAAAGAAAATTATAAAATAGAATCCCTGATAAAATCGCCTAAAATTGATGACATTTTAAATACATTTATTTCACAGTAATTTTTGTTGTTGGTCAGTGACACCCATGCAAGAATTAGTAGAGGGAGTTACCTGGGTACTGGAGGGACCTACAGCACGCCTTGGAACTTTAACATCAAAGCCACTTTTGGGATCTTTCTCTCCCCTTAGTGCAGGGTCATTAAATGGTTCGCGCCCACCTTCCCAGTCACACACAGTCTTTCTGATAGCCTGTAGAATACTAACCATAATTCAAGAGGGTTTGTGAGCATCAGCTAGTCCTTAAGAATCACAAGGAACTAGATATATGCTTATTATTAGTTATTATACACGAATAATTGTGATATTAAAATATATTAGCAATTGATAATGCTATCATTTTATAAATCAGTCTGGAAGCATGCAAATTTTAAACCTTGAGAAAAAAATTCTTGCCACAATAAACACAAAAACAACTAAAGCCTCCCTCACGTGTAATATATGTGATGTTGGTAGGTGAGGACCAATCCCTGATATCTGCAACCAACAATACATTTAGAACTTCAAATTATGTTGATTCCACGTAGTGTGAAAGTATATGAAATGTGATTTCATGTACTGAAGAAAGAAGTTTATTTATATAAATTAGGGATGGGCAAAACATCTGACCACATAATAGGCAGTTCTGGGATCTAGGCATAGACAAAAAATTGTTTGATTGTGGGCCTAGATCATAATTTTAGGATGTTTAGGCTGTCATTATCTAAGGGACTGCCGCTTTGATCAATTTTTAAAGACCTATTACTTACTCTCAAGAAATCATAACAATTAAAGGCAAGTAAGATAAATTTATTTTCAGTGTTCTTTCCAAAGATGTATTTTACCAAAAGCTAGTGTTATGTAAACGTAACTTTCTATTTCTTCTCTTTCAATTTCTGATAAATGCCTATTTTGGATTACAGGTAGTCCTTGACTTACAACAGTTCATTTAGTGACCTCTCAAAGTTACAATGGCATTGAAAAATGTTATTTATGATTGTTTTTCAGTTACAACCTTTGCAGCATCCCCATGATCATGTGATAAAAATTCAGATGCTTGGCGACTGGTTCATATTTATGACCTTTGCTGTGTCCCAAGGTCATGTGATCACATTTTGTAACCTTCTGACAAGCCTTCTGTCAATGGGGAAGCCAGATTCACTTAACAACTGGGCTACTAACTTATCAAATGAAGTGGTTCATTTAAAATTGTGGCAATAAAGATTGTAAAATGGGGCAAAATTCACTTAACAAATGTCTCACTTAACAACATAAATTTTGGGCTGATTGTGGTCATAAGTCAAGGACTACACATATTGGCATCCAATATTGCCAACTGGTCCTGTCAATTGCAAAAGGCCACACTGTTTACATTCATACACATACTACACAAATACATTACAACATTCTAGGTTCTTGGGAAGATCTCAATGTGTATGAAACCAACACCAGCTGAAGAACTGGAAACTATGATTTCACATTGTTGTGTAGATAATAATAATAATAATAATAATAATAATAATAATAATAATAATAATAATAATAATAATAATGATGATGATGATGTTCCTCAATATTCACAAAGATAAATGCTTGAAAAAAATATATAATTTAGATTTAGATTTAAAGTTTATTTATATGCCGCCCTTTTCCCTGGGGGGGACTCAGGGCGGCTTACAACTTAAAAAAGGGGGGGGAGACAAACTTTTAACATATAAGACAAATACATAATTAAAACACAACATTCATACTATTCGGGCGGGTTGTAGTCTTAACCCCAGGCCTGAC